GGGAGGCAGCTGCTGCGTCCAGCATCAGTTGTAGGCTCTGAAACACGTCCAGACCTCACAAAGTAGGAGTGACTAAACGGAGAACAGGAAAGCCAAAGAGGCCGTGCTTATATCCTGGAGGAAAGCACACAGGTTCATGGTAGACTGCAGATGGGCACTCCAGGAGGGGCTTCCTCCCCCTTCATACTTTCCCCAATCCCAGCATTGCCCATACCAGATAAGTTTATTAGCAAGTACTTTACTGCTTGCATAAAGGAAACCCTGTTATAGGAACGAACAAACTTGTTAACCGGATTGCAGGATGCATAGCAGTAACTCAGATTCTTATCTCTGACACCACAAACTGCTGTTAGGAGATGAGTGAGAATGCTGATTTTTCACAGAACACCTTCAGAGAGACCTGAGATGGTTTTCCATCTCCCACAACAATTTCTGTGACTTTTTGCATTCCTAGGAGCCTCTTCTACATGTTGACTCCATGGCCATAACTTCTCATGTGTTTGGTGAACAACACACTTCACATAAAGCACAGACATGGGTGATGCACAGCTAGAGAAACAGGAGGGCCTGGACCTTTAGGGGCTACTCCCAGTCCCACAGAGATGCTCAAGAGTGATTCAACGGGTCATTTCCCTAACACGTAGAATGAAAATATTGATAGCATGGTCAGATTACCAACCTAAAGAAGAGAATTAAGCAGCTGCCCATTAACATTTCAGCTGAGGTGACGTTTTGAAGTCTAAGCTAATCACAGTAGATAATTAGCTAGCACTCTGAGGCTTTTCCTGCTACCTGATGCCATCTGTGGCCTGGCACGGTTCCAACACGGCAGCGGTGACATCATGGGGTGAAGTGCTCACGACACTCCAACACTTGGTCACAAGAAACTGTTTGCCTTCTAATACTAAGAACTTCCTGGTAGAGTAAGATTTTTCGTGACCAAATTCCTAAAGGGCTCCTAGTAAACAAGTTTTCCTTACTCGCGCTTTGTCTGTCCGTCCTTATCACCTCCACGCCACGCGGGGCAGGCGCGCAGCTTCACCCCAGCAGAGCCCCTTACGTTTTTTTTGCCCGGGGCACGTCAGTCTCTCCAGCGCTCTGCCCTCCCCAGCCAGCCGCTTTCAACCCAACACAGTTTGTTTTTTCTTTCCCCCACAAAAGCCATTTCATCTGCTTTCCGCGCCGCTCCCGAGCAGAGAGGCGCCTG